CCTCCATCCCAGAGTTAATAAAGTTAATTGCATTATCCAAAATGCTACATGTTGTAAACTCAGTCTATACTGAATGAGCCTGCAGTGCTGTAACTACCGTGTTGCTATAACCACATCATTCAAGGATACTTACTGCGTTATATTTGTGGGGACTGATTGATGGAAGCTACAACAATTATTTACTTCATTATTGTCAAGGAAATTTGACTGTAACTAAGACTATGATATACACTGCTCTTTGAGGATTGTCTACGTTCAGTCGCTCCATATAAGGGCCATGTGTTGTCCAGGACGGAGGGACTGCACTATTTTTGGTGGGAAATAAACATTCACTAACAGCCTTCCAATTTTTTTTAATATAAACATTGTGTGAAGTGGCGAATTGGAGCGACTTATTTTTTTTTCCGGGCGCTACCAAATTCTGTTTTTGAAAGAAAAAGGAATAGTTTATTTTGAATGTGTTGGCAGTGAGTGATGTGGGGGCAGGGTAAAGTGAGAGTTGGTGTTTCTCTGTGCTGCTGTCTCCTCCCTGTCTGATACAATGAGAGCCCTGTTGCTGTGACTGAGCCATTTGCGCGGGCCGGGTCACCAGTGGCTTTGCCGGGGGAAGGGGAGAGGGAGAAGGAGAGGGGAAGGCAGACGTTTGCATGGCAGTGAACGTTTGGCTGTGTTCAGCCTGACGTCCTCCTCGGCACTCACCAAGCAAGTCGCTGCAGTTGTTTTTTTTATTATTATATATAAATATATAAAAAAAAAATCTTCCTGGGACCTATTATTTCCCGGCGTCCTGCAAGCCGCTATCTATCTCAGTCTTTTCAGCTGGCACGGATGCGGAGTTTTTTATATCCAGAAATTTCCACTATAACCGCCTTTTTAAAGCCTTAACCTCCAGAGAGAGAGAGAGAGAGAGGAGGACAGGGGGAAGGGAAGGAACAACAACAGGAGGCCGCCCAGCAACCAGGAGGAGGAGGAGGCCGAGTGTCTGCGGTTCCTGGTGAGTGAGCCTCGGGCCCCGCGTACCGACTTCTACCCGGGACCGGGTTGCGAGAGGCGGTGGGAGGTGTTGGTGAAGCTTCGGTGGCGGGGTGGGGGGCGGCCTGCGGCGTTAGGCCCCGGCCGCGGTGAGGGAAAAGGTTGGGATGGGGGGGGGGCGGGGGGTGTGCGCTCAGTGACTCACTCCTCGGCCTTCCCTCTGGCCCCCGATTCTGCTGCCGCCTTCCATGGTGTGACCTCCGTCAGTGAAAGCCCGAGCGGTGGGGGGCGGGTGGGGGGTGTTTAGGTGTCCCAGGGGCCTCAGCACCCTGCCAGCCAACCAGCCACCCACCCTAGGCCTCGGCTGGAGGGAGGTGCGGGAGAAAAGCGCGGAGGCTGCCCCAGGGGCCTGCACTCGTGCTTTTGGGGGGGGGGGGTGGGGGAGCGTTTGAAGAAAAGCTGAAACCCACATGCTGCTGCTAGGACTGACACTGGAGCTGCAAGAGTCCCTTGTCTGTAGTTGAAATAAACGGCGAATAACCAGGTGGGAATTTATTGAAGAGATCCATTGGAGTTTAGGGTGAATTGAAAGTTGTGGCTTTGTTGCGACCTGCTCTGCTTGCAATGTTGGCTAACCTGTTCAAATACTTACAGTATTGTACGTAGTAAATTAGTTGCTGATTATACTTTTTTTTTAAATGGTGATATGTCCATAACTTACGTAATGGATTATATCATTGTCAGGACACAAGCATTTCCATAAATCCTAGGACTTCAACTTCTTTTGCAGAAATTACATGCTTGAGTAGTGTAAAACCAGACACTTACTGTTAAGCATAAAAATAAGTTTGTAACTAGGAGATGTCTTCCTGTTGAACTCTGTAAAGAGTTCAGAAATTGGGTGCAACAGTGTTCTCTAAATTACTTGTGGGCTTACTTCATTTTTCTTTACTATAATGTTATTGATGGAATAAGCTTAAAGATAGAGGTTATGACTTCTGACCAGACCATGTACCAATTGAACTTTTATGCGAAATAGCTGTAGTTGAAGAATGCTACCTACACAGGTTATACTGCCTTCTATGCAAGTTAAGAAAACTCCTAAAGCTTGTCATCGAGTGAGGCAACTTATGGATTAAATTAATGCTTGAATTTGCAATTTTTAAACTTCTACATATACCGTGTGGGTTTGTTTTGGTGTATAGTAAAGTGGAATAATAATCCTTCTTCAGTTGATATATTTTTGCTTTATGATGTACTACACTTAGATTTTAAAATATACCACACACATACTTTGCAACAGGTAAATGATATTTTTTTCTTCATATAGTCCAGATGAATTATTTTCCTGTGGGGAATGGGAGGGGAGTTGGATACACTGAATTTAGGGAGTCAGAATAGTTTGTTACCTCTGAACTTCCCTGCAGAGGGATGAAAGTAAACAATCAGATCTACAGAGGTACAGTGAAGTAATAGGATTTTGCATATGTCATTTAATATATACAAAATCTTATTACTGTATAACTGTAGATCTGATTGTATACGTGCTTCCCTCTGCAGTTTAACTTGCCCGATTTATCTAAATTCAGCATTGCCCACTTTTCATCTGTTAGAAATGGCTGCACCACGTGATTAGACACAGATACATGTCAGCAATTCACCATACAACATACTCATGAATCATTCATGCCTATCTATGCAGTAATAGTTCGGATTTAAAGTTTTTTGATGCCAACAACAGCAACTTGTACTTTCTGTAGAATCTTTCGAATAATATCACTTGAGGTACTTGCCAAGAGCATAATAACTGATTTGACAGTAATTTATGAAAGGCTACATTAGATGAGCAAAGGTTTAGTCAAAGATGTAGCTTTTACCAGATTTTTAAAGGAAAATACAGAAAGGCAGAAAGGTTTGGGAGGAATTCTACAGCTTAGGACCCAGGCAGCTTAAGGTGTGACCGTCAACGGTAGATAAATTAAAATCGGGACATGTTTGGTGGGATTGAGGGAGTACAGATATCTGAGGATTGTGCAGCTGGGAGAAGTTACAGAGGTAGAGAGGGGAAAGGACTTGTTGGGGAATTTGAAAGTGAGGATAAAACATTTAAAATCGAGGTCTTGCTTGATTCAGAACCGGCACAAGTCGACGAGCATGCATGAATGGGATTCGGTGTGAGCAAGTGTGTGGACAGCAGAGGTTTGGATAACCTCAAGTTGATGGAGTGTAGAATGTGGGAGACCTGTAGTGAGTGTGTTCAATTAGTTAAATCTAGTGTTAAAGGCATGGATGAAGGCGTGAGAAACAGATGAGCTGAAGTAGGATGGAGCTTGGAGATGATACAGAGGTAAAATTAGGTGGTCTCGCTCATTGAGTGGTATGTAATCGATTGTTCATTTTAGTCCCAAATACTATGCTAGGTCGTGACAGTTCTGGTTTAGTCTCAGATCAGTTTCAAGAAGTGCAATAGTAACTACGGGTCAGAGTTTGCAGCACACATTGTAGCCAGTGGCTTTGGTTTTCCTAAAAGTGGAGGAACTTTTTGTTTATCCATCACAGAATGACAAACAAGCAGTCTGATAGTTCAGCAACAGTGGAGGAGAGGAGAGGCTGTGATGAGGTAGAGCTGGGTGTTGCACATGCATGTGTGATGTTGGGCACTGTTGCTGAGGGGCAGCATCCCTTTCTTGTGTATCAAATCCTGATTCCTTGCTGTTACTGTGGCAGAATGGGACTTTTTTTTTAAAAAATCAACATATTGACTTTAATGACAACCTCTGGTCAGATAGGACTTGAACTTAGACGTTCTGGCCTAGAGATAGTTAAATTACCACTGTGTCACAAGACCATCTAAGAGTGGGAGTTGTATCCTGATTGTAATCTGTGATCCGTATTCCTTCGGCGTTTCCAAGATCAGTAATTTTGTATAAATCGGGCTTGTATTTGCATCACTTTTAACTGCTAGGCAAGGAGTGGATGGGAACTCATTGCTGTTAGTTGCCTGTGAAAGTGAATTGGTCTAGCTAAATCAACAGGAGAATCTAGATCAGTCTATAATACATAGTGGATATCTCTCCAGAGTTTATATTTTACAATGTTTCTGTCAATGATCTCAGTCAGCCTGGAACATAGCTGTGAGCCTTGAACTGATCATTCAATCATTTGGTACCTAGTGGTTCCTCCTGTTTGTTTGGGTCACAGGAGGCAGGAGTGGTGTGAATTATCATGTGAGATGTGATTCAGCTGGCCTTCCTTCTTTCTCTGATCTCAGAGGAAACTCATGTCTGCTCTAGTCTAGTATTAATAGGACCCATTCACCACTTGGTTTGAGTCTCTGTTCATCTGGGGTGCACCAAAGAAACTTTTTGCATTATAGCTCACCTTTTACTGATGTACAGTGGTGTTGAGGGTTATGGAGGGAACACAGGAAGGTTGAGTTGAGACTACACCATATCAGACAAGATCTTCTTGAATGGTGGAGCAGGCTTGAAAGGCTGAATGGCCTACTCCTATATTCTTGTGGGACTGTCTGACATTCAGTGGATACCAGGCCAGGCTAGCCACTTAAGGATATTCCTATTCTTCATTTAGTATGAGATCAAGCTAAAGAGAAGAATAGTGTTTGATCCCTTTGCCTAGTCATTCTATAACTACATTGGCCATGAATGGAAATCTTGAGGTAGAAAATCTGGTGATACATGCTAATGAAAGAGAAGCAGACTGAAGAAAGCGTCTGGTATTTGGTGAGTATCCTTGTCCTACTGTGTCTTGCATCCATTGGTGTGGAAGTGTCTTCACAATTCTCAGACCTCAAACTATAGCGGGCTAATTTTCTGATTTTTAATGTTGTAAATGGTGTTTTTTTGCTTCATCATTACCTCTGCCACTATAGTTGAGTGGAGGGTGAAGTTTTTGTTTATGTTTTTGTTTGCTACGCTGTTATGTGAACAATACATCTCCAATAATTAATAGACAGATCTCAACCAAACTGGGAGAGATGAGATGAGTCCAAGTAATAACTAATTTTAGTTTGAAGATTCAGATCTTTTGAAAGATTTATTAACATTGGGGAAAATTGATGTTTTTAGAAGAATGTTGTACTGTTGTTTTATTTAGAATGTTGTGGTGCAGTTTATCACAGTTGTCAAAATATGAGCAGAGTTTTCAGAGGAGGTCATTGATATGGATTGATCTGAAGCCCCAATGAGGTGGAAGTAGTTTTTTTTTTAAAAGCAAAATCCTTTATGATTATAGAGCATGCAGGCAGGGAAGAGCCTTAAGGAAGAGCTGTGTAATTGTCGTAATGTTGAGTTAATGCACTGTCAGGGGTATGTGCTCTACGGGGTGCCCTCTTGTTTTCTTTTTAATCGTGTTTTCAGTGTATCACATAAGGAGCCTTTGACCTTATTTAATGTATTGTCTTTAGGAGCTCGTCCTTTTTAGACTGTGATGTGGAATATGAAGTACAGGTTAGAGATGTACACACATGCTGATCTATTTCTGTGTTTAATTTGATGTAGCAAAAGATGCTTAATTTGACAAAGTTCTTACATTCTCACATTTTGCAGTCTTGCAGTGCTGTTGGTTTGGGTAATTTGTATTAATGGAGGCCGTTGATGGTGGGACTGTCCAGTGTCTGGTTTTGTTAATACTCAACAATTATATGTCAGGTGTCTGTGTCTACTATGTCTAATCTACATTGATAGATTCAGCAGCCCAGCGTACTCTTGTCATAAGTTTATTAACTGAAAATTTGACATGTCAAATCTGTAAAGGGATTTGGATAAATCTACAAATGGCAGAATCAGTGGTAAGTGAAATTCAGTGCAAGCTCAAAGCACTACATGTAAGAGGGAAAAATTGTTGCAGTGCATGTAATTTGGATGATGTTGTTGAGTATTAACAAAACCAAACACTGGACTGTCCCACCATCAACGACCTCCATAAATACAAATTACCCAAACCAACAGCACTGCAAGATGTGGGACTATGAACCTTGTCAAATTAAGCATCGTTTGCTAT